CGACTCATAGCGACCCCTCCTTGGGTTTCCGAGGCAGTATCACTACGGAAGTAGGATTGCCCAACCTTCCTTCCGAGGAGTGGTTGGTGGGTAGGACACTTTAAAAAAATCTATTTGCAGTTACTTTTAATTTTTTCTGATTATTAGTCAGTGATTTGCCCTTCCATCTATTTTTGTATCTACATCTTTGTGACCCTGAGCTATTATTCCCTGCTGTACTCTTTATGCTACTTGAGCAATTTACTAAGGCTTTGTTAAAACTTTGTAAACTCTGCGGGTTGCTTGACAACTCTGCTTAGTGGGGCAAGGTTTGTATAGTGCCAAACCAAACCAAACCCACTGCTATGGAGTCAATTCTCACTCATAACAACCCCCCATTGGGTTTCTAAGGCCAAGGCTGTTAAATGTTTATGCAGGTAGATTGCCTTCATCTTTCTCCCATGGAGCAGCTGGTGGGTTTGAACCTCTGACCGCATTAGCAGCCACATGACTTACCCACTATACCACAAGAGCCCCTTTATATAGTGCCAGGTAAACAATAATAAAAGAGTGCAGTGCAAGTGGTTAAGCCCTTGGCTGCTAGCTGAAATGTTGGTGGTTCAAGCACATCAAACATCTCCTCAGGAGAAAGAGACCTGGCAGTCTGCTTTCATAAAGATTGTTGTTGTTAGGTGCCATCAAGTCAGCTCCAACTCAAAGTGATCCTGTGTACAACAGAACAAAATGCTGTCTGGTCCTATGCTTGCCTCACAATCCTTGCTACACCTGTAATCATAAAGATTACAGCCGAGAAAACCCTATGGAGATAGTTCTCCTCCGTCACATGGGGGTACTGTGAATTGGAAATCAATTTGACATCACTAACAACAACAAGGAATGATAGATTTTAGAATTATTTGTATACAGAAGCACACAGTATTTAAATTCTTAAAATGAAAGTAGAAGGTAAAAATAACTAGAATTTACCTTTAATTTTCAACTAATTAAAAACTAATTTTTTTTTTCTATTTGGAAAATATTTACAAACAGTATTTCCTATCACCTTTCTTTGAATGTTCTCCATAAGGACTAAAACCCAAAAAACCCACTGTCGTGGAGTCGGATCCGACTCATAGAGACCTCTCCTTGGGTTTCTGAGGCAGTATCACTACAGAACTAGATTGCCCAACTCCTTCTGAGGAGTGGCTGGTGGGTCTAAACTGCCAGCTTTCTGGTTAGCAGTCACATGCCTTAGGCACTATACCACCAGAGCTCCATCCTAAAAGTAGTAGTGCCTTTGCTTCCTTTGAAATCTGCACCTTTACAAGTAAACCAATAAATTCTCAATTGAGAGTTAGTGAGGGGAGTGAGGGGCCTAACTGATTAAGTAAATTGTGCAAGTTTACTTATTGCTACAAGCAGGATAGGTCTAAAGGTCAGGTATCCTGTCTCATAATCTAATGTTTTATTCTAATGTATTATGCTATCTTCTGGTACCTTCACACTATACAAACTTGAATAATAAGAGCCTTTTTACCTGTAGTAATTAAAAAATATTTTTTGGTGTCTTTTTCATTTTGTATTAGAATGTGGACCCTAAGAAACTAAGGACACTAGATCCAAAGGCCTGATGCAGAGACTGCTTTTTGTAAAAGTATTTGCATAAAAATAGTATTGGTAATGACAATTCAGTTTACTTGGGGCAATTCAGGATAATCAAACTTCAAAGTGCCTGCAAGCAAATATGTAAACATAGATTTAATGAGTGCCACTCATTAACTATTATAAAGCTTTTTTTCCCCCACAGGTTCACCATTGTGGCACAAAATCTGTAATAAATGGGTTATCTACCCAGTTGTTTCTAAAATACAGAGCAGTACTTCATTAAAATTGCCTGGTATGCTATCTGCAGTTTAACTGTTGCAAAGTGGTACCTACATAGACAAAAGTTCTCTGCTTGCTTTATGAATTTATCTGTTTGTGTTGTTTTGAGTTTGTATGTTTGAGAAGATACTGTCTGTTGCAGTGCATATTCCTGTGCCATTGAAAGACCTAGTTCTTTTTACCCCTCTTCTCTTTTTTGAAGGGAGGAGCTCTGGTAGCATAGTGCCTAAGGCATTTGACTGCTGACCAGAAGGCTGGCAGTTTAAACCCACCAGTTACTCCTCAGAAGGAAGTTTGGGCAATCTACTTCCATAGAGATACTGCCTCAGAAACCCAAGGAGGGGTTGCTATTAGTAGGTTCCAACTCCAGGGAAGTGCATTGTGTTGCATTGTCTCTTTTTTGAAAGGAGCCCTGGTGGTGCAGTGATTAAGCCTTGGCTGCTAAGCGAAAGGTCAGGTGTTAGAACCCATGGGAAAGATGTGGCAGCCTTGGAAACCAGTCTGAATCTACAAGTGACAGTGGGTTTGGATTCTCTGATTTAAGACCTACAATCTTGGTTCTTCTATTGGCAGCATCTGCAACTAACATAATAAACCAAATGCAGGTAATGAAATCTGCATTTTAGTGCTATTGAAAGTCAGTTAAGTTTTGTTTTTTGAATTAGCATTTCTGTAAAAAATCTCAAGTTATCAGAAAACATATAGCCCTCCAAGAGTACATCTGTTGCCTTCCTGCATAATCACATTTTAGTCTCATTGGCACATAAACGTGTTTCCGCTGTCCTCAGCCTCAATTTTTCTATTTATCGGTTCTGTTTTCTGGCCCTAAGCTTCTTCCCCTGCGGGGGTGCAGCGTTAAAAGGGAGTAGAGTGGAGTGGGGTGGTGGAGAGCGTCCCTGGATAGCCTCCAGGCCTAGGCTTCCTGGGCTGCTAGAGTTGAGAGGCTGATAGGGTTAGCCCACCTTGAGGCTCTGCGGCTGGCCTCCAGCGAGTTTTCTCAGGATCTGGAAAGCGTATGGCGGCCTGGAAGGCAGGGGAACGCTGCTGTGCTGGCTTGGAGACAGCCTCCTTCTGAAGAGATAGTCTGCTAAAGGAGGGCTGTCTTACCAGGAGCCTCAGGCACCTGAAGATAGTGTGGGGTGGAGGGGCGTGGGAGGAGACGCCCAGAGAACCCCTAGCTCCTGAGCTGATGCCCGGGCCTTCTCCCCCCCCCCCCACTGTTGAGGATTTGCACCTGGAACTGGAAGGCTCTCCACAAAGTTCTAGGCTGGTGGCCAGCACGTTCTTTTTTCTCAGCTGGCCCTGAGGTGGGGCCTTGACACCAAGGGGGAGGGGTGGCTTCTTTCCTGGAGAACAAAGAGCCTCTGGATAACCGTGTTGTCAGGTGTGGCGGAGTGGGAGGAGGGTAAAGGGTCTGAAGAACTGTGATGGCCTCCGCCTGCTCTCTCAGGTAGTTCCGGTTTGTTTTGCTGTGTGTATAAGAAGGTGGTTTTGTTTGTGTTCTCTCATGTGGTTTTGGGATGAGGTTAAAAAAGAAAATTATGAATGCATTTGATAATTCTGTCTTCACTTTCAGTGGTTTCTCTGTTTTTTCTTGGAAATTAGAAAATTCATAATTCATTTTCTTTCCTAAGGAAGAAGAATAAGATTATAAATCTACCTTTGGTTATAGCTTTGACTGCGTCCAAACTTGTTCTATTTGTAACTTCATACCTGACCTAATAGTTATT